ATGAGCTTGCTGACCTCGGCGGCCAGCTCCGACTTGTGGCGATTCCACTGATCGATCTCCTCCTGCTCCAGCTCCAGGTCACCGAGCGAGAAGAGGTCGCCATCTTCGAAGCAGACCAACTTGCCCAGCTCCTCGGGCCCCGTGGTCTCCAGGATGGCCGAGAGGTTGATCGCCGTGGGCTGGAGCGGCGGCGACGGCTGGACCTCCAAGCTGCTGCGTAGCAGTCGCTGGTGGGCGGCTGCTGTGGCGGCAGCGGCCTGGACCTTCCGCTGGAGGTCCATGGAGGCCTTCTGCAGCCACTCCTTGCACTCCTCCTCGAAGATGATGGCTTTGTCGAGGGCCTCCTGGGCCTTTCGAGCTGCGACTGCTGACTGGTGCAGTTCCTGCTCGCGTTCAAGTTCAGGGCGCGGCTTCTGAATCTTGTGCTTCTTGTCCTTGTCGGGCGAGGGCGGCTGCAGGGCCGCGGCGAGCGCGCTGAGGTGAGCTCCCATCTCGCCTGCTGCCCCAGGGGGCAGCCTGCGCTCCAAGGCGCCGAGGAGCTGCTCAGGCGTCGGTGCGAACGGCGAGGCGCCGTCCAGGGCGGTGGCGGCGGTGCATTGTCCACCTTGAGCCCATGATGCGCCTGCGTCCCACGAAGCGAACGGGCTGATGGCAGAAAGCGGTGGCCAGTTGTCCCATTGCCCCTTGCTTTTGCCCTTGCCTCCAGTGTCGTTGGGCGATGGCATGAGGTTCCCGCCGCACTTCCAACACTTCGAATGATTACGCCAATTCCACTGATAGCGGCAAGCAGCGCGAGGACACGCAACATAGCCCCTCTTGGGCGGTGCCATCCGCCAACCAGTGGCCGTTAGTAGATGTAAGGATACACGAGCGAACTGAGTGAGTGAGCCTCAGTGCAGTTCACGGAGCGCTGAAAACGGGTGGGGCCGCGGATCCCCTGCGCCAAACTCAATGTCTTCTGAACCACCGCTACGGACTTGAGCCAAAATGGCTACGGAGGAGAGGGGGGGGAGGAGGAGGAGGAGGAGGAGACGGAGGAGGAGGAGGAGGGGGAGAGAAGGAGGAGGAGGAGGAGGAGGAGGAGATGTGGAAACGGAAAAGGGGGGATAACGAGGAGGAGGAGGAGGAGGAAGAGGAGGATGATGATGACGAGGAGGGGGATGAGGAGGAGGAGGAGGGAAGAATGGAAGAGGAAGAGGAGGAGAAAATCAAGGAGGAGGAGGAACGGAACGGAAGGACCCCTGAGCGGAGCGGCCAAAGGGGGGAAGGGGGGGGCTTCAGGCCCACCCCCTTTTTTTGCACCGAGGGGAGGGAGGGGGGGGGGCTTCCAAAGCCCCCCCCCCTTGCAAGGGGGGCTCGCCCCAGCTCCACTAAAAGGAGGGAGGGGGGGGGGGGGGGGGCTTGGACCCCCCCCCTTCCTTTTCCGGCCGCGAGAACCATACCCTTTCAAAGGGGGGGGGGGGCTCACCCCGGCTCAATCCCACCAGCCCTTTGGGCGTGAGTGGTTTAGCGAGCTCTCTCTGTTCTCAACCCCCCATCTTCTTCCCCTTCGGGGAGGGGTTTACCCCTCCCCCTACCCCCTCCCCCTGGACAGGGAGTCCGGGGTGGTGTCAGGGGGGTCCATTTCGACTCCTCGGAGGGCCAAAAAACGACGACCCTCACGAGGATTCTGGCCCCGACGGGGGGGCCGAATTTGGCCCCTCTGCTCTTTTTTGAAGCAGAAATCATTGATTTTACTACGGTTTTGGCCTCATTTTGGCGTCCTGAGGGGGCCGCGCCCATCTTCCCTCATAGCAGAATCATTGATTTTACGAAGGTTTTGGGCTCATTTTGTCCTTCTCAAGGCGCAGCTCTCATTTGCGCTTCTGAGGAGGTCGCAAGAGGCCCCAAGATGGCCCCAAGAGGCTCCCAGGAGGCTCCCAAGAGGCCTCTTCAAGAGACCCCCCAGAGGCCCCCAAGCGGCCCCAAGAGGCCTCCAAAAGGCCCCCAAGAGGCCCCCAAGAGGCCTCAAGAGGCCCCAAGAGGCCCCCAAGAGGCTCCCCAGAGGCCCCCAGGAGGCCCCCAAGAGGCCCCAAGAGGCTCCAAGAGGCCCCCAAGAGGCCCCACGAGGAGCCCGAACGACTCACACCCGGACGAGGGGCCCGAACGACTCACACCACGAAGAGCCCGAACGACTCACACCGAGGGGCCCGAACGACTCACACCAGGACGAGGCGCCCGAACGATTCACGAGGAGCCCGAACGACAGGACGAGGGCCCGAACGACTCACACCACCCGAACGACTCACACCACAAGGAGGGGCCCGAACGACTCACACCAGGACGAGGCGCCCGAACGACTCACACCACGAGGAGCCCGAACGACTCACACCACGACGAGGGCCCCGAACGACTCACACCACGAGGAGCCCGAACGACTCACACCAGGAGGAGGAGCCCGAACGACTCACACCAGGACGAAGGGCCCGAACAACTCACACCACGAGAAGCCCGAACGACTCACACCAGCCCGAACGACGACGAAGAGCCCGAACGACTCACACCAGGAAGAAGGGCCCGAACGACTCACACCAGGACGAGAGCCCCGGAGATATGCGGGGGCAGGCGGAAACACGCCTGAAAAACACGACTGTCGGCATGCTTCGCAAGAGTTGCTGTTTTGAGATGGGCTGGTGGGGATACGCGAAGCGTGAAACCGCGAAAAGGGGGGGGGAAGCTTCCGAAGCCACCCCTCCCTTTAGCAAGGAAGGGGGGAGGGGGGTAGCTTCAAGCTGGGGCCCCCCTTCTAGTCTGTCGGGCCCCACGAGCGCGGTTTATCAAATATTCCCACCCCCTAAACGTTGAAACGCCGACGAAATATTCTCAACCGCCTGGCCTAAAATTGCCAGCGAAATATCCTCACCCCCCTGACGTGCGAAATACCCTTCACCCCTGGCCTTAAAACTGCTAGCGAAATATCCTCACCCCATGGCCTAAAACTGCCAGCGACACATCCTCACCTCCATGGCTTAACACTGCCCGCGAAATATCCTCGCACCTCTCAGCGAAATATCCTCACCCCCATGGCCTAAAACTGCCAGCAAAATATTCTCACTCCCCATCGCTTGAAACTGCCGGCGAAATATCCTCCACCCCAGGCCTAAGACTGCCAGCGAAATATCCTCAGACCCCTCGCTCAAAACTGCCAGCGAAATATCCGCACACCCTCGCTTGAAACTGCCAGCGAAATAGCGCATAGACCACCCTTCGGGTGATAAGGAGGTGAGGGGGGGGGACCAACGTCGCACTCGATAGATCTCACTATCGAACTCGCTACCGATCTCACAATCGATCTCAATCGATAGATCTCACAATCGATCTGACTATCGATCTCACAATCGATCTCACAATCGATCCCGCAATCGATCGCACATTCGGTCTCGCTATTGATCTCGCAATCGATATCACAATCGATTTCGCATTCGATCTGACTATCGATCTCACTATCAAACTCACTATCGGTCTCATTATCGATCTCACATTCGGTCTCACTATCGATATCACAATCGATCTCACAATCGATCTCGCATTCGGCCTCACTATCGATCTCTCTATCGAACTAACTTTCGATCTCATTATCGATCTCACTATCGATATCACAATCGATCTCACAATCGATCTCACATTCGGTCTCATCATCGATCTCACTATCGAAATCACTACCGATCTCATTACCGATAGTGATCCCACTACTAACTCAATCGATCGATCTCGCAATCGATCTGACTATCGACCTCACAATAGAATCCACAATCGATCTCACATTTGGTCTCGCTATCGATCTCACTATCGATATCACAATCGATCTCGCAATCGGTATCCCATTCGGTCTCACAATCGATCTCACTATGGATCTCATTATCGATCTCACATTCGGTATCACAATCGATCTCGCAATCGATCTCACAAGCGATCTGCCATTCGATCTCACGTTCGATCTCACAACCGATATCACTACCGGTCTCACTATCGATCATCAAAACAAAGCATCAACGTCGTCCAGCGGGACACCGGCGGGACACCGCGGGGCCCCGGCCGCCCGGAAGGGAGACATTTGGTCCGGCCGCGCCTCAACCACACGGGGCACCAGCGGGACACCGGCGGGACACCGCGGGGCCCCGGCCGCCCGGAAGGGAGAAATTTGGTCCGGCCGCGCCTCAGCCACAGGAGACTTTCTCTCGCCCGCCCACGCAGCTTCGCCTCGCCCGCACGCACGGCACGCACGAACACGAAACCGAAATCGATTTCCCGGTAGGGGGGCTCTCCGTTCCACTTCGATCTCACCCCCTCACCTCCGATCCTCCACCCCGGGCCTTAAAACTGCCAACCAAATGTCCTCACACTCCTCGCTTAGACGACTGCCAGCGAAATATCCTGGCACCCTGGCTTAAAACTGCCACCAACATATCCTCACCCCCCGACTTTCAACTGCCAGCGAAATACCTTCACACCCCTCGCTTGAAACTGCCAGCGAAATATCCTCACCGCCGTTGGCCTTGAACTGCCAGCGAAGTATCCTGCAGAAGCCTTTTGACGCAAATGGGCTTCGGAGCAACGCTGCAATAATTTCAACTCTCCAAATCTCCCCACACTACTCTCCTACTCCAAAATCCTCCGAGGGATCCTTACACTCCCTCTTGGGCGCGGCGAGCAGGCGGGAGGCAAAAGCCTTGGCCCTCCACTATCGCCTCGTTGCCGACACAGTCCGTGGTTAAAAAAACACGCGAACACCGACAGGTCGAGGTTCACGACCGTCGCGATCAAATGAAGAGCCAACTCGCGCAACTAACAAACAACTGGCCACACTCGCCAACGGCCGAAACCACTGTGAAAAGAAATCTGCTCCGCACCCTGCAACTTGGGCTCAGTTCACAAGCCCTGAAATAGCTTCTTGCACTAAATCCGTTGAACATCCAACTTGCAACCAAAATTGTATCAATCGGTTCACCGTGGTTTTCTACCTCGCCCGGCTGGGAGATCTTCGATCGCCTCCAAAACTCGATGCAATCTGCTCCCGGCTTCGACGATGGCAAAGCCCATCTTCGCGTGGTGCCGTATTATCTGTGTCTGGTCCGGTAGCTTGGTGAATATATCTGCCGGTATCACATTGCCCGGGATGTGCTTGATAACAAGCCTGTTGGCTTTCACCTGGTCCTGGAGCCAAAAGAATCTCGTGTCCAAATGCCTGACCATGCCCAATCCTTGGCGATTTGCAATGCCCTCGGCGGCCGCGCTGTCACTGTGCAATTCTACCAGCGCCAAGGTCAGCATGATCGGAAACAAATGCATGACGCTGAAATCGCATAGCATGGACTGCAGGCCAAGCGCATGCGTCGCGCCCTTCAGCATGGCGCAGTGCTCGCTGTCTCCACTAGGCAGGGCCACATTGGTCTGACTCGTCGAAGCATGCTTGACAAGGTGATAGCTCATCATCAGCATCACGCCTGTCCTCGATTTCCTCGTCGTAGCCTCTCCCGCCCAGTTAGCATCTACATGCGTGTCCACGCGGTCAGGTCATGGTTGCGACTTGTACTTGGGGCTCCCAACTCGGGCATGCATGAGGTATCTTCCAAAACGCTTTAGGTCCATCATGTCCGCTTCCGTCGGGGTCTTCATCTTCTGAGCCAGCGTCGAGGTCGTGTAGCTCAGGTCGGGCCGATCTTGACCCAAATGAGCTCCTCGCGTGGCCAGAGACCGGTGCAGCGTAGCATCGCTCTCGTCGAGGGGTGGTGACTGTTCAGCTTCAAACTTCCCCTTGCACCTCAGAAGCTGAAGACAATCTCCCAGTCACCTTGTAGTCGTACTTGGTCAACAGTTCGTCGAACCATTCCTCGTCGCCGGCAAAAATCAACACTCCGAAATCATCTCCGTGGCCTTCCAGAGCCACATCGTGCTCTGGATGCCGCAGGATCGCCGGGCTCGACCAGCCTTGCTCGAACTCCTTGTCCTTCAGCAGCTCCATGTAGTCGCCCTGCCAAACCTGGCTCGCGTCCACTGTGCCGTGCATGGTTCTATTGAGAAGCCCAGCCATCGGTTCAACTTCACCTTCTCGCTCTTCGGGCGGAAGCTCCACCCAACTCCGACGGGGCGCCGTGCCATAGAAGTACGCCTGGCTCACGTCGTAGAACGTGTGCCCGACCTCTCTCGGCGATGCGCTGCGATGCTGCTCGTGCGTCCTGCTCGCGAACAAGCTAACCGGTGGCTTGAGCGCCTCCAGCGGCGTCGCGCGCGAGAAAAGGTCCTTCGCGGGAGGGGGCTGACCTTCGGCGCGTCGTCGCATCTTCTCATCTCTCTCGCCGCCGGCCTCGAGCGGTATAGCGGCCGCTCCTGGTCTCCATTGTTCGTGTCTATCCACCGCGCGTCGATCGGTCGACCTCCTTCCAACTCCATTTCGCGCCTGGGTACTTTGGCCCAGACGTCTCGATTCCCGCGCCACTCTAACTCTTCGCGCCTCGCCTCTCTCGCGCGCTGCGGGTCCAGAAAGCTATCGCGCACGTCGTCCGCGCGTGCTTCCGCCTCCCGGTCGATGCCCTCCTCGCGCGGCGAAGGTCTGACAGTGAATCCAGCCAGCCCGCTCAGCGTCTCTCGTGGCCGAAGCTCTTCGCGAAGTTCCTTGAGGATCGCCTTCGCCAGCTGCTTGGGGTGCTTCTGTGCTGCCCGCGCTCGTTTGTCTCCAATCAAGCGTGGATGCCGGCGCGGCTCTCCACCTTCCCAAGGACATTGGCACTCGCCCTCCAGGATCTCGGCCAAGATCCTCGACTTCGCCATCCAACCGATCTCCTTGCGGACAAACGCCACGCGCCCATCGGGTCGATGGGGCTGCGGGCCCCATGGGCACATGGGACCCCGCATCGCGTAAACCCCAGGTAGAGCACAAACGCGCTGCACGCAGGGTCGATCCCATGGTGCTGCCGTCCACGGGTGTTCGTGAAGAAAGAGAGCACCTCGTCGATACCTTCGTTCGCATACTTGCATGGAGGACTCCAGGTGAGTCTCGCCCTCTAGGATCTCCTGCGTCGCGACCTCTGGATCCCGCTTGTTGTTGCTCAGCGCGCGGAGCAAGCAGAAGATATAACCAGGGGGCGATGCCGTCGTAAGTAACGGGTCTTGCCAATCGAACTGATCCATGCACTCTCTGCGCTGCCTCTCGTCAAGCAAATCGCGCCCAGAGGTGATATCTGCTGCGGGCCTGGCCTTCAGGCCAAGCCCGAGCGCCCTCTGCTTGAACCGCTCGGGGGAGTAGATCTCCGCAAGGTCAACTCCGTCCATCTCGGTCAGCGTCTTCGCTGCCTCCTTCAGCTCGTCGTGCGTCATCCCGTTGTCGCCGAGCAAGTCTGTGGCGCCCACCAGCGCCAGGATCTCCTGGTACTTCTGGTCCTTGACCGCGTGCGTCGAAGGGGCCCAGATCCATGTTGCTGCCAGCTGGCGCCGCTGGCCCTGCCAGGCCCCCCATGTCGCCTGAACCTCCAGCCCCCTCTGGACTTGGGGCTGCAGCCACTATGCCTGAACCGCTGGATGCTGCTCCAGCTCCTGCCTGCCGCCGCGCGTCCGCCGCCGACTCGCCGTCCACGGCCGTCCTGACCTGGCCCGGCTCTGCACTCGCTGCCCGCTTCCGACCTGGCGTCGAAGCGGCTCGTGGCTGAACTGGTCGCTCTCGTCCTCGCGGCGCACTCGCGACTTGTTTGCGCGCTCCCATGGGCTCCGCGTCATCCTGCGCTGGCGCGCTCCGCCTTCAGCTGAGCCGGCGCTGGGCTGGTCTCGGCACTCCTGCGACTGAACAGCCCTCGCCGAACCGCCGGCCATCGAACTGATGCAGCCTGGGCATCCAGGCGTCTGGCCATTCTTCTCGATGTCCTTCTTGAGCACGTAGCGCTTCCTGATGGCCATGTCGCGCTCCTCTTTGAGTGGGCAGTTGCAATGGCCCGGGAGGGCCTGCCAGCTCCACGTCTGGCGAGACCTGCCAAGGCAACCCCTTCGGCTGGTCCCAGTTCTCGACTGCCCTCGCCTGAGCCGTAGACGGCCTCCTGAAACTTTGACCTCTGACAACGCTGGTGTGCGCCATGAGAATCAATGCTCCAGTCCTCGGACAATATCCAACAGAGCGCCCAGGAAACATCATGGGTGCGAGGGTGCTGCGAGCATCTCCTATACCAAGCGGCCAACAGAAAACGCGCTCCCCGAACTGCGCCATGAACTTCTTCCAAGGTCGCCCGCTACTCCTTGCCGCGCTGGTCAAGCCGTCGACGCCAATCCTGAACTTGGTGATGGCATCAGCTGCGAACTGAGGAAGCCACCTGGTAATCGAATGGGTCACGACAGTCCCGAATCCAAGGGCGCGCTGCAAAGCAAAGAAGTTCGCCCTGATATTCCGCTTGACCTCCTTGACCGTCTGCTCCACGTTTCCGTTGCTCTTGCGTCGCCGTTGGGGGGGGGCTCTGCCGGCGCGCGCTCGAACTGCGCGTCCGCTGCAGCTATCGCGGCATTCTTGGCCGCGCAGATGCTCGCCTCGCTGTCGGACATGACCTGGGCGCGCCGATGCCCCAGATGCTTGAGAGAGCCCGCGAGCCACTTTGCCGCAAAATCCGACGCAGTCTCGTCCTTCGCGGCAGTCGCGCCCTTCTATTTGTAGGGGCGCTCCGTCGTCGCCAAGATGGGGGTGGAGTCTGGGTCCTCGATGTTGCTCACCTTCTCACCGATGAGCGCAGAGTCGACGCTGGCGACCGGGCCCTCGCACTCTCGACCCTTCGCTGCTTGCGCGCGTTGGCCGCCGCAACCTGCTGCCATGACGCGCCCCTCGCGCCGCAGGCGAAGGGCGGCATGCCCGCGCGCGATGTGGTTCCCCCTCTCCATCTGGCTCGATCTGCATCGCGCGCGGCGGCGCCACCTCGGGCGCTTGCAACTCCCCCTGGCCCTCGTCTGGTCTCGCAACTGGTGCCGGGCCCGGGCCCCCAGCCGAGGCGCCGAGCATTTCCGGACTTGCGGGCGAGCCTGCCGTCGAGGGCCCCGGCCAGACCCATCGCCGAACGGGCAGAGATCACCTCCGCTTCCAGGCGCGCCTCCAAACCGCACCCTGCGTTCACCGCTCGCAGCTCCTTCTTCCTTCTTGACGCGGCCGACGTGCGCGCCGTTCTCCGCGCGCAGGGGGATTGCGCCTTTCTCGTGGGAGGCCGCCTCCTCGATCCCCCTGCTGACGCGCCCGATGATGTCCGAGTTGCCCCGCAGGATGTGCCCGCCTTCTCTCGTCAACCAGGTCGCTCTCCCAGTGCCGTGTACTTGGCTCGCCGACGCCAGCGGCCTGTGAATGTCTTCTGGGCGACCCTGCGTCGTCATTGGCTCGTCCCACTCTGATTGACCTTCGACTCTGATGCCGCCGCTGTCGGGGATGGCCTCGCCTGAAGCCGCCCTGTAGTCCGCGCTCGAGTCCGCCGCGCTCCTCTGGCTGGTCGCATCGACGGGGGGGGTCGTCGCTGCAGCTCCTGGCTCACATGTGAATCGATACCGTCCTCCGTGGTTCTTCTGGGCGTCCACGCCGTTGAGCTCAAGGGCGTGGGCCCCCGTGCTCCCAGCCTCCCGACTCGTCGTCGCCGCGTGGCTCGCTGATGGTGGTGGCGACGATCGGTCATGATTCCAACCTGGTTTTCTAGTGGGGCTGCCGGCCTGACTTCCACCCTGGTCGAACGCGTTGGATTCCCAGCTGCTGCCGCCTCTGCTCTTGCCGCCCGTGGTCTGACCCTTGCCTCTGCCTTTCCGATCTTTGCCTGTGCCGCCATTGCTATTGTACTTGCCGCCCTTGTTGCCCGTCAACTTCGCGCGGCAGTCGCTCGACGCGCGCCCGGGTAGGCCGCGCCTCCAGCAAGTGGGGCCCCGACCGTTGTCTCGACCTCTACCTTTGGAACGCTGTCCTTTGCCTTTGCCACCTCGAGCTCTGCCGTTCCCGTGTCCAGCTCCTTTGTGCAGCGAGTCCACATCCATTGGGTCGTTCTTCTGCTTCCGTTTGAACGCTGCCTGTGACTGTGCCGACTCGGGGGGGCTTCTGATGCCCTCCGTCGCCTTCGCGGTCAAACCCAACCGCGTCTTGTTCATCGCCAAGTGCAACTCGAGCTCCTCTGGAACTGTCGCGGCCAAAGCTGCCATCTTCGCATCGTCTCCAACCGTCTTGTCCACCCCGTCGGCTCTCTTTTCTCGCGCCGTCTCGCGAGCTCCTCTCATTCCTCGAGCTTCGCGTGTGATTCGGCCAGGGTGGTACGCTGCGGGTTCGTTATCTGTTTGCGTAGCATCAGTCGGTTTCCTCCTGAAGGTGGGTCACATCGTCCAATCAACTTCCTCATTGCCTCGACGCCTTTGCCCCTCTGAGTGTGCTTGAGAAACCCTCGCCTGCCGTCAAAACTTTTAGCGGAACGTGCAACTGGCTAGCCGTCTCCTTCCAGTCGGGTATCGTGTCGTTCTCGTCAGCCCCATCGCCGACCTGGTCCTCTAACGCTTCCATCGTGATCGGCGTCGGGTCCTGCGCCTGATCCTCAACCCGCTCCAGGAGTCCTCTGAACTGCTCGCCGAAGATCCTGGTGAGATGCGCGCGTGCCTTTCATTAACACTCTACAAACTTGCCTTCATTATTTTTGAAGATCGCGGGCTTGCCAAGCCCATTAGTATCCACGAAGGAAAATCCACCTGATTTGTCCTTCGCCGCGCTCGCCTCGGTCAACATCTGGACTGCATCTCCCAACAGCTGGGCCAGCCAGGGCAAGTCTCCTTGGACCTGCGGCTGGCGTTGAACCTCCTGCTGGAACTGCTGAAACTGCTGCTGCTGCTGCTGCTGCAAGTGCAGCTGCTGGTGCAAGTTGTTGTTCTGGACCGTCAGCTGCTCCACTTGTCGCTGCAATATAGCGAAGGCGGCACTGTCCTGCTCGTTCATTCTTGATGTAGTTGAAGTACTGGCCAAGATCGGTCCACAACTTCTTCAGCCTCTGCACCCTCCAGAACGTCAGTAGCAGCCACCTCCAGGCCAGTGCCGCTCCTATCCAGCGTCTGCTGCGCCTGGCACGTCGGTCGAACTCATCGTCGACCTCTATCGTCTCCCGGTCGTCCTGTGTTGCCGCCGAGGCCCGCGATGGCGGGCGGCGATCAGGCCCGGTCTCGCGGCCCAAGGGTGCCGAAGGCAGAGAGCCTCGCTCCGCTGCCATGCAGAAGCCACCTTTGACACAAATGAACTGCGGAGCAACGCTGCAATAACCTCAACTCTCCAAATCTCGTCACAGTATTCTCCTGCCCTGAAATTCCCCGAGGCATTCTTACATATCCCCACCCCCTAAACTTAAGATTGCCAGCGCAATATCCTCACCCCCTGGCCTAAAACTGCCAGCGAAATATCTACCCCCGGAAATAAAACTGCCATCTAACGGCTT